TGAGACCAGAAGAACTAGATGGTGCCTGGCTACCACCAATGAACGTCCTGACAGGTAACACAACAAAGGGTCCCTGATGGAGCAGTAGAAGGATGGGGTGCAGAACTCAAATTCTAGTAAGAAGACCAGACTTAATGGTCTGACTGAGACTGGAAGCACCCCAGAAGGCATGGCCTCTGGACTCTCTATCAGCCCAGAACTAAAACAATTTCCAAGGCCAACTCTTCAGACAGGGATTGGACTGGACTGTGGGACGTAAAGTGATACTAGTGAAGAGTGTGCCTCTTAGTCAAGTAGATACAAGAGACCAAAGGGGCAGCTTCTGTCCAGAAGTGAGATGGGAAGGCGGAGAGAGTTAGGAGCTGGTTGAATGGTCATGGGGATCAGGGGCAGAAAGGAGGAGTGTGCTGTCCTAGAATGGGGTAAGCAATTAGGGTCTCATAACAATGTATGTAAAAAATAATTTTGTATGGGAGACTGACTTGAAATGTAAACTTCATTTAATTACAACAATTAAAAAAAAAAAAAAAAGCCTGTTGCTCTGTCCCAGTCCATTCTAAGGGTTCTGTGTCTTTTCCCTCTAAGGCTCACTATAAAGGCTTTGCAATAAGTCCAAAATTTGGGATCCAGATGCAGCAACAAGCAGCCATTCTCAAAAAACCTCGGCGCTGTCTCCAGTTGGTAGGGGCTGTGAATCTGCAGATAGCATCTTTTTGGATGGGGAGGAGTTCTCGCTCTCCCTGTCTGATTTTAAAACCCAGGTAAATCACCTCCTTTTGGTTGACCTGAGCTTTCTCTTCTGAAAGCTGATACTCTGCGTTTCCCAGGAAGTTCAAAACTTCTATGGTGTTCTGGACTAAGTAGTACTCACTGTGACTGGTGATGAGTAGGTAGTCCACGTATTGGAGGAGTACACCATTGGTCAGGGTCAGTTGTCTCAGTTCTTGGGTCAAAGCTGATCCAAAAGGAGTAAGACTGTTTTTAAAGCCCTGTCGGAGGACTTGCCAGCACAGCTGCTGTTTCCATCCTGTTCCTGGGTCCTCCCACTCGAAAGTGATCATTTTCTAACCTTGCTCCTCCACTCAGATGCAACAGAAGGCATCCTTCAGGTCTAGCACAGTGAACCTGGAAAAGGTGGGCAACAAGGTCAACAGCAGGGTTTACGGGTTAGGAACTACAGGATGGACCATGACTGTTACCTGGTTGATGGATTGCAGATCCTGAACAAATCTGTATTCTCGGTTTTTCTTCTTCACCAGCAGGATGGGGGTGTTGAACTGTGACTGACAAGGTCTGAGCAGTCCATGTTTCAGGTATCTGGTGATGATTTTTCCCACTGCCTGTCGGGCCTCTGCCTGGATGGGGTATTGCTTAAGTTCGGGGGGAACTATGCCAGGTAGGAGCTCAGCTGCCACCAGGTGAACATTTTTGGCACATCCTGGCACCTTGTTGGCCCATACCCACCAGACCTTGATGTCTAGCCCTACTGATCCTTGGTAGTGTCCTTCTGCACTATAATTGGTGGGTGAGTCAGCCTTAAGAGCCATCTGCAGTCACTATCCATTCTCTGGAGGTACCTGCATCTGCAGGGTGCCTTTATCAAAAGAAATTTGTGCTTGCAGTTTGCACAAGTTGCTTACCAGCAGGAGAATGGGACAGTCAGGCATGTAGAGAAAAGAATGTGTTAATGACTTCCCTTGTATGGAGCAGGTTAGAGGCTGGAGGAAAGGAGGGTTTTCTACCTCTTACCCAAGACTCGTATGACCGACACAGTTTGTTTCATCGGGGCTGTCTTTTTCTGGGTCAGGACAGAGTGGGTTGCTCTGGTATACACTAGAAACTGTACAGGTTCCCCCCTCCCACCTTCATTATAACCAGAGGCTCAGGTGGAAGACTCACCTCCAGTCCTCCTCAATCCAATTCTTCCCCCATCGGCATCATGGGGCACTGGGCAGCCCCAGGCTGTTTGTTACCTCTGGGTAGGAATTTAGGGCACTCTCTCTTCCAATGTCCTTTCTCTTTGCACCAGGCACACTGGCCTCAGCTTAATGGGGGTTGGGGCATCTCACCTCCCTCTCTCCTCAAGGGTCCTCTTCTTGGGCCACCGGGAGATGGGTCATTTCCCCACAAGGTGGCAGCCAGGAGTGTGACCTGTCTCTTCTGATTGGTGATTTTTCTGTTTTCCTGTTCCCGGTCCAGATTGGAATATGCCTGGTAGGCAAACTCAACAAGCCATGAGATCCCCAACTCCACACTTCCCTCAAGTTTTTGGAGTTTTCTCCGTATATCCAGGGCACTCTGCCCGATAAAAATCATATTCACCATGCAAACGTTTTCAGGACTGTCAGGGTCTGTGTCTTCGAACTGTCTAAAAGCTTCATAAATTCTTTCCAGAAACTTAGAGGAATCTTCCATTGGTTCTTGTTTGATTCCATAGGTTTTGCTAAGGTTTTTTTTGTTTAGGCACCCCTTTCTTCAACTGTTCCAAAAAGCACTCCTTATGATAAGCAAGGCGGGTCTGTCCCTCGGCCGTATTCTGATCCCAGCCAGGGTCCCCCACGGGGAAAGTCTCTGCTTCTGGCTGATTTACTGCCTGCACTTTTTGGAGCCTTTTCTAGGACCATGCACCTTTCTTCTGGGGTCAGGAGCACATCTAGCAGTGCCTGACAATCTGCCCAATTAGAGTTATGAGTGCAGAAGATGGAGGCAAAAAGATCCTTCATTCTCTTAGGGTCTTCCCGATACCCAGGGCAATGGTATTTCCAGTTATAAAGATCACTTGTTGAGAAAGGTTGGTGGACCCAGATCATGCCAGTATCTCCTGCTGGGACTTGTCAGAGGGTATGCATGCCCCCCCGGGCTCAGCTGTGCTATGGCTGTCCCGAGAATTGGTCGCTGTTGTGCTACTTTCATTCTCCCTAGTCACTGAATTGGGGTGCCCAAATGCTGTTCCACTCTGCGTATAGGGTGGCGAGCCCAACAAGAATCGTTGCTGGCACACCTGCTTCTCCCAGAACTGAAGCATAAGGGGGCGGCAATACTGGTGCCGATGCAGAAGGCAAAGGCAACAATGTTTCTTCCTCAGGGTCAGAGGGGAGGACTGGTAGTTGTGATCTGCTGGCCCCTTTCTGGACTAGAATTTTACATTTCTTCTGCAATCTCTTGTCTCAATACAGAGTCATGAAAGCTTCCACATAATACTTCTCATCCCACTTTCCCTCGCGAGTACAGAAAAGGTCTAATTGAAGGATGGTATAATTTAAGGACACATTCTCTAGCCATTCCTCTCCATCTGCTAATTTGTATTGTGGCCAGGCACAAAATATTTCCAATTCTTAAGGATACATCCTAAGGGGCTGCAATCAGGAATCTCTTGAACTTTCCCCGTTCTCCTGACACGCATACAGCTTACACACTCACACAACCTAATTCAGTGCACCAACCTAATAACTGATACCTAGAGCCTTTTATGCCCTCAATGGTCAATTCCTCCCACTTCTTGGGACTCTTCCAAGGCCTTACCTAGGAATTACCCTGTTATTTACCAAATAACCCCAGATACCCAGAGCCTTAATGCTCTCAATGGTTAATTCCTCCAGCTTCTTGGGACTCTTCTAAGGCCTTACCTAGGATTACCCTGCTACTTACCAAATAACTCAGGTGCATTTCATGTCCTCCACAGATTCACTGTTGGATCCGAGGTGGATCAGCTTCCAAGGCTGCCCCAAGGTCTCTGGGAGAAATCTCCTGATGGCACCAGATGTCGGGGCCAGTCTGTTGTCTGATCAGCCTCCAGAACCGAGCATACGACTCCTGGCTGGCTTGCCAGAAATGTTGCTGGGTGGAAGCCCCAGGCTCTGCTCAACACAACTCGTCTCAGCCAACAAATGAGAGACCGAGGTGGGAGAGTAGAAAGTCGCCTTTATTTCATTGTACAAGAAAAGGAGCAGTTGGGGCTGCTGCCACCAAGACTGCTCAGCGTGAGTGAGGGGAAGGGCTACTTTTAAGGGGTTTACAAGTAGGAAGTTCATATAAGTTACATCAGCAACGTTCTTAATCATACTGCCATGGGGTTTACATATAACTTCATGCATCACATGTTCAGAAAATGGCGGTTAAACTCCACCTAGAGGTGGGGAGGTTACTATGCATGAGGTATTTAATGAGCTAAAAGGTTATCCTGAACGTCAGCTTGGAGCCTAATCTGGTTTCTGCCCATATGCTCTAGTTTTGGGGCAGCAGTTAAGGAGAGGGGAACCGGGATTCTAGTGTAAAGCTACAGGGCATGCCAAGCAAGCTGCTTGAGGCAGTGGAATTTTCTGCAGCGTGGGGACCTCTGTCTTAATGTTGTACATAGTGTCACTATGAGCTGGAACTGACTTGATGGCACCTAACAACAAAAACAGCAACATTTATTTAGGTTTACCAACAAGTTTATCAATCTCTTTTATTCACATTGCTTTTCGCATCACTCCTTCCTTCTAGGATCAGTTTACTCATTACATTTGCAAAACTATTAAAGCCTAGTGCTAATGGACTTTCAGGGAAAGAAATCTACCTCACACTGCTGATGTCAGGATTAAGCAAAGTTATTTTTGTGAAAATGCTTTATAAGTTGTAAAACACTGTACAAATATTAGAGATTTATTTTTTGTGCATTAATCATTTCCAGAGGGCAATTTGGTAAAATGTAACAAAAGCTGTAAAAATGTTCACACAATTTCCTTAGCATAAAGAAATATTTTTTAAAAAACTACACAAAGAGGTTTCTAGTAGCATTGTGTATAATTGTGGAGTACTGGAAACAACACAGATACCTAAAAGTTAAGAAATGGTGAAGTCAATTTCATCTAATAGCATATAAAGATTAAAATAATAAGCAGGAAAACTATATGGATACTTGAAAAAGAAATATTAATAAGCAAAAAAGATAAACACAAATTGTACATATTCATTGATCACAACTCTATAAAACTGGCTATGCGCTAGTAAAGACTGGAAGAGGTCATAAAACAGCTAATAGTTGCTGTGCCAAGGGGAGAACGTTATATGTTTATTTTCCTTTAATGTTATTTATTCAATTAAAAAAATTATTTTAAAGAAAGTCTTGGGGATTGAAAGGTTGGAGGTTAGAATAGGGTCAAGAAAAGAAAGAGATGCTATCATTTGTATTTAGTCACTTTGAATCATTTGGTCATCATGCCTAGTTGATTGATTAGAATCAGTTCTTGGAAAATCATTTTACCTTAAATGACTATACAGTAAAAACCACAGTTATCAGTTTTTAAAAACATGTTGCCAATTTGGAAGCCACTAGTAGAGATAAGGAGCCCTGGTGGCATGGTGGTTGAGAGTTCAGCTATTAACCAAAAGGTCGGCAGTTAGAATCCTTGCAAACCCTATAGGGCAGTTCTACTCTGTCCTGTAGCGTCGCTATGAGTTGGAATTGACTCAGCTGCAATGGGTTTCGTTTGGTTTTGTTAAATAAAGATTTTAGGGCAAAAGGATGAATGTTCCCCACTAATACAACTTTTCAACACTACGCAAAGTTATTTTTCTAAATTATATAATTACTAATAATGCTTAAAAATTCTGAGTACTGATTGCTAATTTCTTTCTATTCCTCTTAAGTAATGTGAGTCTTAAATGCCATGATAGTTCACAGTGGTTCAGTGCCTATAGTTTAGGCTTAAAGCTTTGCTCTATCTTTTTTCCTGGAGTCCCGCCAGAGTTGTTTCTGAGACTTCAGGCCCTGGCCCCAGGGAGTAGACTCCTTGAGTTTCCATAGTATTCACATAAATTCGTTTAACTAGTAAAACCAAGCGCCTGTTTGTTATTCATTGAGAGCCTACAGTAGGCTAGTCCTCAGGGATAAAGAGATCAATTAAATAAAAACCTTTTTTCAAGGATCTCACAGTCTAGTGGTGAAGTAAAAAGGTCCCTAAGTGCATGCCATCTATGGGGCACAAAGTCTTTCAATAATAATAGTAAAAACTTATTATATAGTAAAAATCATTTACTTTTTTCAACCTGTAATATTATTTTTAAATGAACTTTTTATTTTAAATAATTTTAGTTTTACAGAAAAATTGCAAAAATGTTAGAGTTCCTGTATACCCTACACCCATTCTCCCCTATTTTTAACGTTGTTATTGTGTGCTGTGCAGCCCGTTCCAACTCACAGCAACCCTGTATTGTTAACATTACTATGTTACACTGGTCACAGCAAAGAACCCAACATTACGACATTACTGTTAACTAGACTCTGCAGTTTTATCATATTAGTTTTATCTAATGCCCTTTTTCTTTTCCCAGATCTTATCCAGGATACTGCGTTATATTTTGCCATGTGGCACCCTTGGGCTTATGTTGCCAGATCATCCAGTTTTTCAAAGAAACCAGAAATCCTGATTATTATGTGCAATCCCCTGGTTTTTAAATGTTGGCAATTCATATTTTAAATACCTGTAGGCTGCCAGTCTCCTTAGACTCCTCTGGGCTGTGACAGTTTCTCAGACTTTGCTTGTTTTTTTATGACCTTGACAGTTTTCAGAGTACTGGTCAGGTATTTTGTAGAATGTCCTTCAATTTGGGTGTGTTTAATGTGTTTCTCCTAATTCGACAGGGTTTATGGGTTTTGGAGAGGAAGACCACAGATGTAAAATGCCGTTAACCACACATCATATCCAGGGTACATGCAATTAATATGACTATTACCGTTGATGTTGACCTTGATCACCTAGCTGAGGCAGTGTTTGTCAGGCTTCTCCACCGTAAAGTTACTCCTTTTATTCCCCCCTTTCCATACTGTACTTTTTAGAAGGCAGTTACTATGTGCATCCGACACTTCAGGAAAGGGGGGTTATGCTCCACCTCTTTGAGGGGAGAGTACCTACATACATTTTATGGAATTCTTCTGCAAGGGAAATTAAAAGCATTAACTTTTGTTTGGAGTTTTACATTAATAAAACTCTTTCAAATACATTATTTTATTATCTCTACTCTGAGAAAGTTTGCAATCAGGTTGGGAAGCTCAGACTCACAGAGGACAAGTTAATTAATGACCTATGACAACATTATAAGAAATAGTTTTTATAACTAGACCTCCAATAGGGTCGCCCAGTTAAACTGTAAATCTGAGGCTACAAACTGGCAGCCTATACAGTTTTTAAACGATGAGTTGCTAACATTTAAAAACCAAGAAATTGCACATAATAACGAGGATTTCTGGCTTCTTTGAAAAATTGGGTGATCTGGCAACAGAAAACCAAGTATGTGACATGGCAACATGGCAACAATCAGCAGAAGCTGAGTTGCAGCTGCCACCTTCAGACAGGTCACTCACACTGCCGTATGTTGGAGCCCCCATCCCCTTCGTTGTGTGACACCTTGCCCATTTCACTCATTTTCATAGTCAGCTTGATCTCAGTATGACTTCTCTAAAAAACAGTGAGTGGTTGGGGAGTTTTCTCCCGCTTAGTGAAGACTAGTACAGCTGTATCTCAGTCCTCCACCACCTAGGTTGCCTGTGCAGCCCTATAATAGAATTTAAAAACTCAGAACTTTGTGTATTGAAGGTACTAAAATAACAAGTCATTTGACATTCCTCTGAAACCTGCATCGAAGCCTGCACTTCTTCAGTGTAGCCCAAAGGAACCAGAAAGAACTCTCGTGTGAAATCCTCGTGGGAGAGAGGGCTGCTGTCAGAACTCAGCTTCGGTTCTGAGAGTGCCATTTTAAGAGCACTTTGATCCAAGTTTTTTGTGATTCCTACCTCACCCCTAATAGATTCAATGAAGTAAGCCAGTATCTCTCCTGCAGTCGCAAGGAAAACATCATATAAGCGTTCAAATCAGACATGTCTAACCAATATCCTAAAACGTCAGCAAAAACAAAACCAGACTTGGTACAGGGAGGCTGCAATGGAAGTCTTACGCTACCATAATCCTACCTGTGCAGATCTGGGGTTCCATGCATGTAAGAGGTATGTCTACCTCCCAAATGCCTCTGCGTCTCATACAGAACTGTACCCAGCTTTGGAAAAGGGTTCTGGGTAGCATTTGTGTTTGGCACCATCTGTCCTAAATGCTCAAGATAGCCCAGAAGTCAGGCTTCCAGGCCCCCAACACAGAGGAAACCCTCCATTAAAAACAATGGCTTACACCTCCATTGAGTGTGCTCAGACTAGGGAAGAAGGAAATGTGTGGTCTAGAAGGGGGCCACATCTGCTCACTTCTGGGCTTACAGGCCTGAGCGGAAGGAACCTAAACGCCTATTCCCCTAATTACACACATCATACGAAGCCCACCCAAAAGACACCCCTACCCTGGTGGGACACAAAGGCCATGCCCGTATGTTATGTGACTCCGACAGACATTTTTTGGTTGCTTTCCCAGCATCCATGCCTCTCTTACCACTCCTGTTGTTGTAGTCAGCTGCCATAGTCATGGTGACCCCATGCATGCACAGCAGGATCATACCATTATGATCCATAGGATTTTCAACAGCTGATTTTCAGAAGTAGATTGCCAGGCCTTTCTTCCTAGTCTATCTTAGTCTGGAAGCTTTGCTGAAACCTGTTCGGCATCATAGCAACACAACAGCCTCTACTGGCAGATGGTGGTGGCTGCATAAGAGGGGCACAAGCCAGGAATCAAACCCCAGTTTCCTGCATGGAAGGTGAGAATTCTACCACCAAACCACCAAATAACCTCTTACCACTACTTAGGAATGCAGTTTGGGTGGGATGAAGCCTTCCTCCAGCTCCAGGGGGAGCTGATCAGCATATCCCAAACCCCAGGCCACAGTTCAAGGGTGAACATGTGATCTTTGTTACGGGAGACTAAATTCTAGGACTTTTGATTGAGCAATCAGAAAAGCAGAACTTGTTTTTTCCTGCTGCACATAAGCAGGACACCTATAGATCAAGGAGTTTTGACATCATCTTGGAACCACAGTGGGAGAGGTGCCTGAGAATGGAGCCAAGGAAGAATCACTGAGTGTCATACTTATCTAATGCTGTTGTAACAGAAATACCACAAGTGGATGGCTTTAACAAACAGAAGTTTATTCTCTTACAGTTTAGGAGGCTAAAAGTCCAAATTCAGGGTGCCAGCTCCAGGGACAGCCATTCTCTGTTGGTTCTGGGGGAATGTCATCAATCTTCCCCTGGTCTAGGAGTTTCTCAGCGCAGGGACCCAGGTCCAAAAGATGCGCTCTGCCCCCGGCACTTCTTTCTTGGTGGCGTGACGTCCCTCTCCTCTCTGCTTGCTTCTCTCTTTTATATCTCAAATGAAATCGACTCAAGATACAACCTAATCCAGTAGACTGCGTCCTGCATCATTAACATAACTGCCTCTAATCCTGCCTCGTTAACATCATAGAGATTAGGATTTACAACACATAGGATAATCACATCAGATCATAAAATGGTGGACAACTACACAATACTTGGAATCATGGCCTAACCAAGTTGATACACATTTTGTGGGGACACAATTCAATCCATAACACTGAGGCAAGAAGGATGTAAAGGAGCTTCCCTCCCTGGACTGTTTGGTTTTATGAACCAATACATTCCTTGTCTGGCTTCAACCAGTTTGGGTTAGGTGTTTGGTCACTGACCCTAATAGAGACTGTCGTGAATATAACTTGACCCTGCTAAGTTTTGGTGGGCTCTGGCCCTAATCACCATCTTCTTGCCAGTATTTCCAATTCCTTTTAAAGCAAACCAATTTGACCACAACCATGGTGGAATTTAGTCAACTTGAATTTTAAAAATCCCGATACTTAATGTATTTCAGCATAAAATCCTATCTCCTGGTTTACATTATGCTTCTCCTTTTGACACACATCTTTTAATTTTATTTTTCATAATATTTTATTGAATTTTTGGTGAAAGTTTAGACCGCAAGTTAGGTTCCCATTGACAATTCCAACACAAATTGTTCAGTGACATTAGTTAGATTTATCACAATGTGTCAGCATTCTGTTTAACTGTGTTCAGTTTGTACGCTTTCCATTACCCTAGTTTCCCTGACCCCTAATCTTCTCATCTTTGCTTTTGAGTAATTGTTGACCTTTTGGTCTCATATTGATGTTTTTTGAGTAGGGCACCAATCTTACAGGTAATATTCTTTATTTTGTGTGCCACTCTGCTATTTCGCTAAAAGGGGATCTCAGGGGATAGGCTCAGTTCTAGGTTTAAAGAGTGTCTCAGGGCAATAGTCTCAGGGAGTCCTCTGTTCTCTACTGTTACAATTTGTCTGGCTTTTTTTTTTTTTTCCTTCTTCTTTTTAATAAGAATTTGAGTTCTGTGCCATATTTTTCTCCCATTCTATCTGGGACCAATTATTGTGACCCCCGTCAGAATGGTTAGTGGTAGTAGCTGGTCACCATCTAGTTCTTCTGGTCTCAGGGAAAATGAGGTTGTGGCTTGTGTAGGCTTGTTCCTTCTCTACACTTTTGGTTACCTTCTTACTGTTTTTCTCCTGGCAAGTCAAGACCCGTAGTTGTGTTTTAAATGGCCTCTCACAAGCTTTGAAGACCCCAGATGTTACTCACTTCACTAGGATGCAGATGATGATTTTTGTGAACTACGTTATGCCAACTGACCGAGTTGTCCCATGAGACTATGGTTTTAAGCCTTCAAACGCAGAAAACCAGTGTTGGAAGGTGTTTGGTTATGTCTGAGGAGTATCCATATTTGTGTCTTCAATGAATATATGTGCCTGCACCCACATATTGGATTGGCATGTACCTATAGATACTTCTATCTGTTCTCACCTAGGTACACACCAGTACCTACGTGTATACGAATTTGCCTGTACCCATCCATATGTGCGCAAATGCTCCATTTTACTTTGGTTATGCTGTGCTCAGTACATCCACATTCAGTGCCACTTTTCCTATCACCAAAAATAACTAGTCTTATGGTATAAAGCATACTTTCCCCACCCCCCCACCCCACCCCTTCCTGGTAACCACCAATGAACATTGGTCTCACTATATTTCTCTATTCTTGTCTTCTTATAAAAGGGGGATCATACAATATTTGTCCATTTCACTTAGCATTATGCCATCCATGTCCATTCATGTTATGTTTCGCAAGCTCATCATTGTTCTTTATGGTTGTGTAGTATCCCGTCATATGTACGTATCACAGTTTTCTTATCCATTCATCCACTGATGGGCACTCTGATTGTTTCCATTTATTTGCTATGACACATATCTTCTAAGAGGAAATTCAACCTTTTGATTTTTAAGAACTGCAAATGTTGGGCAATGATGTATCTACCCAAAGGTTTTCTTTTGTAATAGAAAATGTTTCCGAGGGGAGAAATAGGGATTTTTATTATTATTGAAAGATAGAACTGAAATGATTTTTTAAGGTACAAGGCATTGGAAACACTTAGTTTCATGATATGCCATTGTTAGGCATTCTCTATCTGATTGTTAGAAATTATTCATTTCCTCAAAGACAGAATAAATTGACTGGGGATGTAACCTTGCAGTATGCACTTTGTTTGCCAAAGGCAAACGCTGAACATTTCAGAGCCACAAGAATGCTTCTACATTTGAGTTTGCTAGTGCTTGGAGCTGGCTATGCTTGTGCCCTTGCCTTAGAAAGTCCCGTGCATAGACTGGTGGCAGAGACCTTGACGCTGCTCTCAACTCATCGAACTCTGCTAATAGGCGATGGGGTAATTTTCTTTTTGATTCCTAGTCTCTGAAATGCATAGATAATAATTTGTGGTGGTTCAATTACCAGGTATGAAGATCTGGTGTTAATAATGAAGTTACAAGAGTGTTAGTCACATCTAGTTAACCACAACACTAGCAAGCATTATATTAAACTTTATGAATGCTAAAGTGCTTTTAAAATGACTGTATTTCCTTTTCTTTTCAGACCCTGAGGATTCTTACTCCTGTGCATAAAAATGTAAGTTAAATTATAATTCAATAAAATGATTGATTGCACGATTAAGTAAATGACGTATGTTAAGCTGTAAAGCATTAGTTATCATTGGAACTATTTTATTTTCTCATTTTATTTTCATATACGTGGATATGACTGTATGTAATTATTATATTAGGAAGGACTTTATAACAAGTAGAATCCACTAAACAAATGGATCAGGCCCTTTAGTGATGTTGTCAGTTCTCTCTCCTGAAGAGTGTTATGTCAGGGATTCTTTCTAGAAAAATCTCACATTTATGACAGGTGCCTCCTAGACTCTGTTTAGCTCTGTCTATGGCCTTCCTGCTCTACTGTCTTTCTGAAAGTATTAGCAACTTAGGGTTGTATTTTTAGAATCATGATTAAAATACATTAAAATACACAATAAATGTCCTGTATTAATAGTCATTTCTACATATTTAAATGATTATAGTATACAATGGAACTGTTGCTGTCAAGTTGATTCGGACTCATAGTGACCCTACAGGGCAGAGTAGAACTGCCCCATAGGGTTTCCAAGGAGCGGCCGGTGGATTCAAACTGCCGACCTTTTGGTTAGCAGCCGAGCTCTTAACCACTGTGCCACTAAAGCGCCATTTGGAGTATATCATGGCCATATTACAATGCAAAATATATGATTTCATTAGTCTAAATAGAATAAAATTATCAGCTGTAAGTATAAAAGACAATATTAATGTGAGTTCAATCAATAATGTAGTTCATTAATTACATTTCTTAAACATTTTATTTCTGGTTAAGTAGTTCATTAATATCATTTATAAACTCTCCAGTAATTATATAAACTTTATCTGTTTTTTAAAAATTACGTTTCAGTGCGAGGTAATGGTTTGTCACCTGGAAAAGGAGCAAATATAAAACTCTTTGGAAACAGGAACTCATGCAAATACCACAAAACAAAGCCTAACATTTTGGAATAAATTTTTATACCTTGTTTTGATTATAAGCGTTTTTAAAAATCTTCCTCATTTAGCACCAACTGTGCACTGAAGAAATCTTCCAGGGAATAGACACACTGAGGAATCGAACTGTACCAGATGATGATGTGGAAAAACTGTTCCAAAACTTGTCTTTACTCAAGGAATACATAGACCTCCAAAAAGTAAGTTAAAAACATTTAGTGGAAAATACATTTGTCTGGCTGTGCCTGTTTTTATAGGAATTGACAGTTTCCTACAATACTGATTGTCTGTTTTTTTCACAGAAAAAGTGTGGAGAAGAAAGACGGAAAATAAAGCAATTCCTAGACTACCTGCAAGAGTTTCTTGGTGTAATAAGCACTGATTGGACGTAGAAGGTTGAGACTAAACGGGCTTATTGTCGCCTAAGACCTTGGAGGAGGAAAAGAACATTTTATTGTATGAGAATGAGGGCCAACCAAGGGCAGGGCCTTAATTTTCAGTGTAATTAAACTCCAGAGGCAAAGTAAATATTTCAGGCATACTGTTACTTTACCACATCACACAGGCAGAAAGCATAAAATATTTTAGATATATTTCAGATAACAGAATCATTAAAGTATTGTCCTATTGTTTGCTCCAGGCAAAAGAAATGTAGAATTTTATCTTAATTTAACATCTTTTAAAAGGTTTATTAATATTATTTATGAAATGATTAAGAATCTGGTAAATTAATATTTATTTTGTTATATGCTATGTTCTAATAAACCAAAAACAGACAACTCTGGCTCAGTTTGCTGCTGGCCTCTGTCTTGCCCTTGAAGTGTGAAAACACGCAGAGTTTGGAAGGAGGGTCCGCATGCATGTTGGCTGAGCATTCCCATCTCCCTGGTGGCAGAAGTTGCAGGGTTGCTAGGCATGCCAAGGGTGGAAGTGATCCAACAGGACTTAGTGGGGATGTGGGGAGTGGGGACACAGGCAGGGGCTGAACCTGGTCGCCGCTCCACAGTATACCCAGAGCCTAGGTTGGTGCAAGGCAAATTGTCGTGGTGGTGAATTAATGTATGTGCACAAGCATGAATGAATGAATGGACCTCCCAGGACAGGCCTTAGAATTAAAATGAGTTTCCAGATATCCCCCAGGAGGAGGGCAGTGCTGAAAATCTGAAACTAGGTCTCTTCTCAGACTATGAGAAGAATTTGGCAGACCCATCCCACTGCTAGATGAAGGAGAAGGCCAGAAACCTTCTTGGTGGAGGCTCAGGACACTGGGCCGGACATTCTGGCATAACAAAGGGGATAAAGAAGCACTGGAAAGGCAGTGATATCCAGAAGGTTGGGTTCCAGAGGGGCCCACTGTTCTGTATTCTCAGGGGCAGAGCAGTGCTAGGCAGAATAATACTCCAATCTGCTTGCTTATGACTATCAGAGGCAAAATTGGAAATTCTTCTGCTTGAGAAACGTTCTCAAGGACCCACAAAATATGGTCTTTAAAATATACTTTAAGACTGAGATAGACCTAGTTTGGTGAGTAGCATCTGGGGTCTTAAAAGCTTGCGAGTGGCTATCTAAGATACAACTATTGGTCTCTACTCGTCTGGAGCTAAAGAAAAAGAATGAAACCAAAGACTCAAAGAAGAAACTAGTCTACAGAACCAATAGTCTACACAAACAACAATATCACCTGCCTGGAGACCAGAAGAATTAGATGGTGCCCGGCTATCACTACTGACTGTTCTAACCAGGGACTCCATAGATGATCCCGGATAGAATGGGAGAAAATGTAGAAAAAAACTCAGATTTCTTAAAAAAAAAAAAAGGCCAGGCTTATTGGACTAATAGAGACTAGATGAACGCCTGAGACTATCGCCCGGAGATACTTTTTAAACTTGGAACTCAAACCACTCCCAGAGGTCACCTTTCAGCCAAATGACAGATTGGCCCATAGAATAAAAAATATCACCCATGAGTACTGTGTGCCTCAAAATAATCATCTAGATGAAACCAAATGGTTAATATTTACCCTAGACCAAAGATGAGAAGGCAAGGGGGTACAGGGAAGCTAGATTAATGGAAAGAGAACAACCAAAATAGAGATAATGAGAAAGCTTATATATTGTGAAGAATGTAACCAATGTCACTGAACAAAATGTATACAAATTGTTAAATTAGAACCTAATTTCCTGTGTAAACTTACACCAAAAACATAATATTAAAAAAAAATATACCTGGAGAGGAGGCACAGTAAAAATATTCAGCTGTGCCATTGATTTCTTTCATTCAACATATATTTATTGATCACCTGGCCTGTTGCAGACCCTATGCTGGGTTCTGGGGTACAGTTGTGGGCCTGTGCTAGAGAGCTTTACAGACCAGTGCCATTACCCTGTGCGTTATCTGCATAGATTGCATGTGTTGGACTCAACTGCTTACGTGAAACAATTGCTCCTGCTGTTTCTGGGCATGAGAGAGAGACCAGGGAAGTCAGACACAAGTACTCAGGTGGGAGAATGCAAGTCCTTCGGTATAAGAAGATGAGTTTTCCTTCCAGCACCTACCCAGGCATGGTGCAGAACTCTGCCGTGGCACAGGCTCCTAACTTGTACACACACAAAGCCCCAGTGAACCAGAGCAGAGCAGTGAGGGAGGAAGATGGGTCCACATTGCACCACGCCGACTGCTCTAGAAAATGACAGGAAACAGGAAACCCAAGTTGCAAAGACACTGAATCTTCATTTAATTCAATCAGCAAATATCTATTGGGCTTCAATATGCTGGAGGATTATTCTAGGGACTGGGATCCATCGGTAAATAAAATAGTCAAAATTTCTTGCCTTTGTAGAGCTTATGGAGCCCTGGAGGTGCAGTGGTTAAGAGCTCGGCTGCTAACTAAAAGGTCGACAGTTGGAATCCACCATCTGCTCCTTGGAAACCCTATGGGGCAGTTCTACTCGTCCCATAGGGTCACTATGTGTCAGAATCGACTCGACAGCAGTGGGTTTGGCTTGGTTTGGGTAGAGCTTATAGTCTTTCTCAAAGAAGCTCATTTTTCCACTTTTTTTAAATCAGAGTCCAATTTAATTCATGTGGATTTAAGACTGGAATATCTTATTACCTAAAGCCACACTAATGAACCCTTGCCAGTCTACCAGGCCCCAGAAAAACTAAGAGAAGTCAGGACTGTATGCAACCAAATGAAATGGAACTTCTTAGATGTACCAATGCTTTGTGTGTGTGTGTGTGGTAAATATATATGTAACAAAACATTTGCCATATCAACATCCTTCACATGTATAGTTTAATGACATTGATTATGTTCATCGCGTTGTTCAACTATCACCCTTATCTGTTTCCAAATTTTTCCACTGTAACAAGGCTTTTAAAGGTGGAAACCATGATTTCCAGCTGACTCTACTTTCCATGTAGAAACAAAGTCATCCTGAGGGACCCTGGCCAGAGGGAGTGGCGTTTCCTACAAGTCACATCAACTGTCCCTCCCCTCAGCCTGACTTCTGGGGGCTCCAGAACCCAGGGCATTAGGGGAGAGAGATTTGGCAGGCTCTGTGCCATAAGAAACACTTGGGTGAGTCTTGCTTTTCCTTTAGGAAGCTTATCTCAATAATAGAGTCTAATTTCACTTTATTTTAGTGATGCCACTGTAATTGCCCAGGGGAAGGAGCCAGTGTGAGCTATTAGACCGTCTTCCTCCCTCAGTGGCTCTGCTATGGTTCACTGGGGCTTTGCATGTGGACAAGTTAGGGGCCTATGCCATGGCAGAATTCTGCGCTATGCCTGGGCAGGTGCTGGAAGGAAAACTCATCTTCTTATACCGAGGGACACGGGGGAAACTTTCAAGAGAACACCTCAGACACAACTCACCCAAAACCAAAGTCACTCTCTTTGTCAACAATCCTCCTTTCCTAAAACCTGCTGCTTGTGCTGGTGCTGCTCCTCCTCATGGTCCTTCTCTTCCTTGTAGCTTCCTCATTTTGCTTAAGGCCCCACAAGTACCTCCCCATCAACTTTCTGGACACCTCCCTGACTTTTACCCACTGTGCCCTTCCATCACCATCCAGCCCCTGAAATACCTCTCAAATCTGCCCTTTCCATCCACACTGCCTTAGTCAGGCCCTCGCCTCCCACCTAGACTCAGCCAACACAGGCTCCCTAGTTCAAGCTCTCTGCATTTCTGTCGAGTCAGAGTTGTTGATAAAATTAGTACACGTGTCCACGGATCACTGCTGGGCATAAAAACGTCTGACTCACCACCATCTGAAGTCCAAGTTACTTCATAGGTCATACGAGATCTACCTCTGCCACCTCCATACCCCTGCCTACAGAAGAAATACAGGTATCTCCCACTTAAGATAGTTTGCAAGAAAACACTAACCAGGCACCTTCCTTCCCCTTATTTTAGGTGGGAAAATTTTTAGTGCATTACATCTCAATTCCAAATCTTAACCAATTTCCTAAAAATGTAAAACACAGTAAAATGCCTGTCAGTAAGTAACAAACTATCACATCAGGGTGTAAAATATTTAAAACAGTACTTCCTGATCACGAAACAACATGGTTTTTAACAAGCAGTGGCTTTGTCTGTATAAAATGCTGCATGCCCCCTTAGTTGACATTCAGAGCCTTTTCAATTGTCTCCTGCAAACTCTGATATGCTACCAATTGTACTTGGAATGAAACTAAAGATTTTCTCCATTGAGCCCCTTATCACTTTGTTAAAAATGTATTGCGTTTTGGGTACATATATGTAATTTTTCCTATGTAAATATTGATGGAAAAGCATTGTATTGAGAGACACATACAGTCTATGAAAAAATATTCTACGTGGAAAACATAAACTGCGGAAACTTTCTGCAGGGAATACCTGTTTTAATTTTTCCCAAAAATACCCCGTGAATTTTCACACCTCCATGCCTTTGCCCACACTATTTTCTCTGTATCGGAATCTGTCCTTTCCCACCCAATCAACTTGTACTTGTCCTTTAGATGTTTTCATTCATTCTTGTCTCTTCGCTTTCACAGTCCAGCTCAAATGCTACCTCTTCTCTGATTATTTTCCTGACTAGCCCAACAGTATTTGTTACTCCCTTATCAGTGTCCTGCATACTCTGAACACTCCTCTATCAATAATCTTGCTTTTATATTATGGTATTTTCAGATCCCTCTTATACATCTCTGTATTTCTATCAGTTATAATAGTGTAGATCATGCTTCAGTAACAAATCATCCCGGAATCCCAGTGGTGGAACACAACAAAAGTTTATTTCTTGATTACACAGAGTCTACTGTGGGTCTGTGTGACCCTCAGAGCAGCTGTCCTTCATATGTTGGCTTAGCATTCCAGGATGCTTCCCTCATATGATACCTCCCTATCAACAACTGCTTCCCTGATTGTCTCAGCAGAGAACAAGAGTCATGGAGAATCACACATCAGTTCTTAAACACTTCCATTCATACTGTATTGGACAGAGCAAGCCACATTGCCATGAGTACCTTCAAGAGAGAGGAGAAGTACAATTCTGCTGTGTGCCCAGAAGGAGCGGAGAACCAGATATACTAGGGAGTAGCACCAATATCTACAATAGACCCCTCACAAATGCTCACAATGTCCCAGTGCTTCACAGAATGGCGGGAGCAAACTACCATTTTTTAAAAATATTTTGTTGTGCTTTAGGTGAAGGTTTACATAGCAAAACAGTTTCCCTTTCGACAATTTATACACAGAATGTTCCAAGTCATTGGTCATGATCTCCTCAATGTGTCAGCAGT